GAAAATTATTATTCACACGCCGTAGGAGTATCTCATGATTACTTCCAGAAACAGAACACGCTTTAAATTATTCATGCTCTACATGAAACGCTGGAGCTATAGAAACAATCTTGCACATCTGTAGCAGATGTATTTTATACTGGAACAACTTATTCTGAAAGTTTTGTGACGATATCGGTGTTGGGAATGTTCAGGAATGGCTGAAAGGGCAAGAAGTAGTTGTTCAAAATGGTTCACTCTCATAAATTTTGAGTAGTTGGACGGTAGCCGGTCGGTTCGACGTGGGTGCTTTGTTAACTCACTAAAATCGACCGCCGTGTTGGTCGATTTTAAACTGATCAAAACTTAGAAGCAATATATGCGAAAAATTCACAAAATATGATGTCTTCTCAAATTGTTGAATAAAATTCGTGCGATGAAGTCTAAATGATCATTCTGACTATTCTGAATAACCAATTCGGAATGAGTATATTCCGGGAAAGTGAACATCAAACACGAGCTGTTGATAAAAATACATAACATCACTCTACCTACTTAACACATCAAATTGGGATTCACGAAAAAGTTTGTGAAGGTGCTTGACAAAAACAGTGATGCTTTCTGGTATTTACAAAAAATCTTCCCAAACATTACAGAGGATAAACTGAAAGAGACCATATTTGTTGGCCCACAAATCCGTAAAATCATGAAAGATTCTCGGTTTGAGAGTCTTTTAACTGTTAATGAAAAATCTGCTTGGACATCATTCAAAACAGAATATTATTTGGAAAATAATAAAACTGAAAGTTACAAGGAAATTGTTACCGATTTATTGGAAAACATTCAACAGATGGGAGTAAACATGTCGGTCGGTAGCCGGGCGGTTCGACGGGGGTGCTTTGTTCACTCAGTCAATCGGCCGATGTGTGAGTCGATGGTTCAAGCTCCAGGCTGAACGCTCGCTTGTTATTGTCCAACCCGTATCAGGAATCACATGTTAAAAGGTAAGACCTCGTTAGTCCTTAGCTCGCACAAATTTCGACTTATGAGGGTTGTCGTTCGTAGGGGTGCGACAGCTGGTTAACGGGAAAAACAAAGTTTAGAACATATGATAAAGATTAATTTTCTGCACTCGCATCTGAGTTTTTTCCTTGAAAATTTAGATCAATATACAAGTATTTACAGACTTACAGCTGGGTATCTCGAATTCCGAGGTGAACTTACTATAATGACTGGACTAGTATCCATTCGATCTTAAAGCCACTTGATACTGCTCCAATACTGCTCCTGTTAGCAATACAAATACCAGAAACCCTTCCACGCACAACCAAATCGGTTTTAGTGGAATTCATCCTGCCCTTGTTTATTGTCTGATGTAACGTAATGTCCATTTTATATTGTAAAATAAATCGTTATTGTTTCATGCCCTTGAACTCAATACTCATGTAATGCAGAAGTTCCAAAATAAGCCATTTTCCCAATTACCAGAAATGCAATATTTTCCTCGACGAACGTTTTACCAATCAGAGGTTCTAGTTCCACCTTTAATTGCAAAAGACGTTACTAATAATAACTGCGTTAGCAAAGATTTGTGGAATTTGAAAATTGTTTCCTGGGAACCAATGAAAACAATGAAATAATCAATGACTTTTATTTCACCATTCATTTTAATTTCTCCTTGAAGAATCTGATGGTTGGTCCCTGTGTTAACTTCAGCAGGTTGAGAATTACCTATTTCGAATCTTATTGTTGGATCCGATATGAATGCAATATTTTTCTTTCTACCTATTGCCATAATGTCAATTCTCCTAATGCTACCCTTGCAAGTTGTACAGTTGACTTCCTCATAAACTTCGAATTCATCAGATAATGTTGTGGCTATTAGGTGATGGATGGTGTTTCTCAGAAGTTAACCAAATGGACAAGATGTCAAGATGTGAGGAAGGGTTTTAGTCTCAGTACAATGTCTGTACTAGGTTCCTCCGTCTTGGGATATGCCTGGTATTCCTCTTAGGTTCACTAAATACCCTGTCATTTACACAACTTGAGTCTCCATCCAATAATTTGCTGAAGTGTATTGATCATTAAGTTCTACACCTCTTCTTTACATTTTCAAATTCTTCAAGTGGTTATATTCTCTTTCCCTAAGAATTTCTTTCAATTTTGGACCAGAATAGGTCCATTTGTCAATGTCAATTTTTTCAAACATGTGTTAACTTCATTATCGAAGGATCATATTTTGTGTAGCACATTCTGTTGAGATCTGAGTTTCTTAGTTATTGAAGCTTTGGAGAAACGCTTCCCATGATGCTCTAAAGGGACCTTGTCCTTTCTCTACTGAAGAAGAGTAGAGCATATTTTTTGGGAAAGAAAGTTTTTGGCTTTCTACTACTCCATCTGATACAAAAAAAGGGATGAGAGAATCTTCCAAAGAAAGGAAGGAATTAATCGACTTGAAACTCTATACATGAATGTGTAGATCATGCAAAGAAGTAACTTTCAGTCACAAACTGAAAGAAAGTCATCCTGAAACAGCTACTCTCATATTACACGAAAGAAAATAATTCTTTCGAAACAAATACTTCCTTCCTTTCTTTGGAAGATTCTCTCATCCCTTTTTTTGTATCAGATGGAGTAGTAGAAAGCCAAAAACTTTCTTTCCCAAAAAATGAATCACTCCTAAAAATATAATCCCTTCAATTCAAAGTAGAGCATACTATCTGGAATGTCTAAAAGTAATGCCAGCATTTCTTCGAGATATTTCATTATTTTGTCGATATCTAAAAAGAATTTTAAAGGTAATTCATCTAGGTAAGTCGGCTGAAATGAATATACCAGTGATGACCATTTTGAAATATTGAAGAGGAGAGGAACTAGATGATAAAGTCTGAGAGGATTGATAAAGAAAGACGAGGGGAGATTGTTAAAGATTCAAATTCATGTTCATTCTATATTTATATGAAAACAGCCAACAGCCAGGTGAATGAAATACTACAACATTTGGATTTCTGTGTGCGATTTATCACCAATATTCGTTTACATCAGACATGTCGACAGCGATAAACTTTCGTTCAAGCTTTTTAATTGTTTTAATTTGGATTAAGAAAGTTCTATTCAAACACTAATGAAAATAAATCGAGTAATCGCATCCACTTGGTTCTGCCTAATCCAATTGTTCACTTCCGTCTCTCAGTATGGATCGATACTCCTTTCAAGAATTTCTACTAAGAATTCAATGAAGCCATTGGATTACAAAATAATTCAGGTTTGTCTTCATTGAAACATGTAGCACAGTAATTAATTGAAGAAGAGCAGCACTAATTTTGTTCGTTCATCCACTCGACAAACTTTAAAGGAAAACTACTCCAGTTAAGTATATCGAAAGTGATTTGCATCGGTAATATTTTAAATGCAATTTTCACAATAGATATTATTTCGATATTACATGCTATTACATGCGATATTACACTGGTCACTTACAAGTATTATGCCTCATAATTTCAGTTCGTCTTCTTCAAAAATAATGATTGAGGTGCCATTCGATTAATATTTTCACACAAAGTTATAGCAAATAGTTCAAGATTCAGTTCAACAGAAAAAGAGGTGTTCGTTTCCTGTTAATATTTCGAAAATTATAGCAGATATTCGAAGTTTCGAAAAAGATCATCAGAAAGGAGAAAATTTACTGAAGAAATGTATCTCCCAAAACTACAGCACCAATTTTCACAGTGAGAACATCTTCAATTGTTCATGAAAGAATGTAAAGTCTACAAAAATCAAATATTAAAAAAACCCAGGTTCAAATTTCGAAAACTAACAGGGTTTCTGTGTAATGTCAGTTTTTCATTGATACAATTGGAAGACACATTGAATTCGATCATTTCAAGAAAAGGTTGTTTGAAAATACTTCTTTTGTATGTAAAACTTTGATATTGATGTAACCAGGTTTATGTGTTGTTTTTATTGAGTGTTATATTAATGCACATGCTTTCTCATTGAGTTCTAAAAAATTTCCCTCGCATATAAGAAACACCATGTTGCATCTGCTCCAGAACTTACACCGGTGAGACCAACAGAAAAGTCTCCAATAGATCCTATGAACATGAGCTTGCTGTCCGTAAATCAGATCCAGCTTCATCCCTCTCCAAACGTGATCTTGATACACAATAAGCTTCGAAAACACCAAACCCACTGCCATCGAAAAAATTCTCCGGCCCAGGATAATACACGAAGCTATTGAAATTCAAAACGTCCCAACTGCCTCAACAAACTAGATGTTTCACAATCATCACCTCGTTCATGGCGTACATCCCACAACATTGCTCACCTCGCTTCTGCAGGTCACACCCCCGTTCTCACTACCACCTCCACCCTCGCTTCCACTACCGGTGCACCCCTCTATCGTCCAGGAACATAAATACCTGACCAGAGCTTGTGGACCCACAGGCAAGATCAACTAGCCATGCGCAAGTTATCAGATACTTGCAATAGCAGGTGTACAGATTAGAAGATTGGGCCAACTTTTGGAAGATCAGTATAAACCCTGACAAAAATCCGGGCAGACCCGGAAGGAAACATCACCTTCAATGGGCAAGAGATTTCGTGGACCGACAAGGAAGTCACCCTAGACAAAACATTATCATTCAGGTCTTACGTACGGCAGAGAATAGGAATAGCGAGATCTGCGCGACATAACCTATTCCCAATAGTAGGTCGAAAAAGCAGCATGAGACTGAAAGTGAAACTGCTGATGATTAAGACCGTAATATTACCAATAATCCTGTATGCCTGCACTGCCTGGGACCGGTGCGCAGCAACATACAGAAGACAGATCCAGTCGTTTTTGAACGCGTGGGTAAGGGCCGCGGTAAACGCTCCAAGATATGTACCGAATAGGTACATATTCTGGGATCTAGACCTGAACATGCACTACGAGATGCACGCTGAAGACGCGCTTGACAGAATTCGAGCGCACGACAATCCAGCGCTACGCGATCTTCACAATGCATTATATCACTCACATATGATTTCCATTTTGGCCTCACTCTGAGCAGATGCAAATGAAGGTGCTTCTGCCGACACTTCGCATCGGAACAGGCCACTTGTTCTCCAACTCACTGGGTGAAGGACCACTCTCTTGCTATCTGATTTCGACATCTGCAATGAAAAAATCGATTTCTCAAAACTACAGGACTAGTCAAGATAATGAAATTCACAAGTATTGAGCGCAAAGGACGATAGTGAGCGATATTGAGTGATATTTAACGATATTGGCAAAATTGATGATATCGAAATTGAGCAATGTTGAAGTTGTTCGTTTTGAGGCAATTTCTAGCGCCACTCAGACGATATTGAGACCGTCAGACGAAATTGATAATGTTCGATTGAGTACCTAATGTCTTCATTTTCCAGTATTATTATTACTTGAAATTCATAACCAGTATTGAGCGCAAAGGACGACATCCAGTAAATTTGAGCATTAATGAGTGATAATCTGCAATATTGACAAGAGTGAAATATATTAAAAGGATGATGAGCGCAAAAGGCGATACACTGAAATGACGAAGCACCTGATTTCTCCATCGTTCAATTTCATTGATACTCAAAATTCATAACATCTAGGACAATATTCAGTTACATTGAGTGATATTCAGCCATATTCACGATATTGAACAATATCGACACGGTATTGAGCGAAATTGGGTGCAAAGGAAGATATTCGACAAGAAATATTATATATACGTATTTTATTATAATGGATATTTCATTGAACGCGTCCTATCTTTGAATTTGAATAATATAAAGTGTGTGTGAAATAAAATCGAAATTTTTCCGTCGTTTGAAAGACCTATTGATGTCATTATGTGTGGGATATAACATCGTTCAAATGTTCGCTACCGCTTCACTGTGTAGAGCACATCTGAAACGTCCAATTTTCCTTCCATGACTCCGGCGCATATATCAGGTAGAATTTGGCCGATGGCATGGGTTATGTTGGCTTTCAGGACTGCTGTGATTTGTGGTTCATTCGCTTACATCTACGACTCAAGAAAAACCCACAAGAAAAATCAAAGAGGACTAATCGCACGTTCTCGGAGGCCAATTCACATCACCTCCACGTGAGATTACCATGCCCTCAAACCGCTCGTGTTAAATATCTAATGTAGTATGAGCTGTAGGCACGTATAGCCCCGTCCTGTTGAAACCACATGTCATTGGTGTCCAGATCATCCTATTCAGGAAGACAGTACTGGCCTTGGCAACCTCGTTATCAAAGAAATATGGACCGAATGACGCCGCCAGCGCAAAATCCACACCAAACAGTGACTTTTTCGGGATGCATTGGTATCGTCCCAAATTCGACAATTTCGTACTACGTCACAGAAATAAATAAAAAACATTCATATAATCTTTCAAATGAACAATAGCAAACATTTTTGCATAGAGAGAGAATGGCTAATATGTTTTATTTGATAATTATTGGTTAGGTATCCATGTGAAACAATGGTCATTTCCTAGCAAACCTTTACAAAAGACCTGAGAACTCCTTAAAAGTAGTAATATATCAATCTTCAAAATACACATTTTTTTTTACTCACATTACCCCATTTGAAATTATACTTATAAGTTCTTCCATACTTCTTTTTATGGAATGTATCATTACCTCTATCCCCAGAATTATTTTCCAGATCTGGGTTTGATCTTTGATTTTCAAGCTCTAAAAGAACGCATTTTAAACTTATCATTTCAACCTTCGTCTTCAAAAACATATTTAAATACTTAAAAAAGGAAAATGAAATAATGCATTCAACATTTAAAGGGATTGGTTTCTATTTCACCATTTAGCAACATCGGTTATAGCAAATAAAGGACAATGAATCTGTTACCTGTATGAGACAAACAAAGATGACATATTTCAGAGGCGTGCTGTTCTGTTTTGAATACTTTTCGAAGTGAATTTGAAAAACTCATGAATTAAACTCAACTTTATTTTGTTCAAACTTGCATTTGCTGTAATAACCCGAATTGAGGATCATTCCCCATTGGAATATTTCCATTTTCTTGTTTTGAACTTGGAGTGTCTCGACCCAATGCTATCAGGTACCTAATAATAAACAAAGGGATACATATTTTAAGTTCATTTTTAGTCCATTTTATATTTACCTGTTCAGATTCTTATTAATTTTGACAAAACAACAAAACCAATTTCTCAAATGTGAGGTTAAAAGTTAAAACTGTTATTCTGCTCTGCTGTACTCATCGACATAACCTTATGTCAGTGGATGTACTGCTGACTGACTGACAGATGACAGAACCACAGTTCACAGACACGACACAGAACATAGGATTAAACAATGCAGAGTTGTGATGACAGCTCGCAGTTTTGACATGAGTACGGTATTTGGTGATCTGGAACTTGAAACACGAAATTACATGGTTGCCACACATATTATCATATTGTCATTTTTTAATGTACTCAATGGAAGTCAACGTGAAAATGTCAAAAAAATTGAGATTATAGTACTGAATAGTCTACATATTGATCCGGGTAGTACCTTCGTATCAAAATCATGGAATAGTACCGAATGCGGTACAATAGAACCTTAACGGCAGCACTGTAAATGACTGATTTGACAGATGTAGCTTCAACAAAATGACCGATATCAATTGTCAAAGAACGGATGTTTCTGTTGGAAGACCCTATATGTTTGAATTGATACCTGATTTCTTCATTTTTCAGTTTTATTGTTACTTGTAATTCATAACATTTACGAATTATTTTCTATTCATCTAATGTTTCATCCTAATTATATTGATAAAGATTGATAATAACATAAAAATTAGACAGCATGCCATGTTATACACGTAGGAATGAATCTCAACTGATGGGGTCATCTTTTGTGTTTAAATAGAAGTAATTGTCAAAGTTAACTAATTTGGTGATCCAATAATTTTTCTGAAAAAGGTGTTGGTTGTGGAACAGGATCAATTAAAAAAAAATTGTATTCTTGCCGACGTTTCCATTTTAATCAAGATCTTCTTCAGGGCTCTGAAACAATGAATTTTCATAAGCATACCTTCCACAAAACGTATACGATTAATATCGTTTCAATTTCATGAGAAATAATGAGTTCCTAATTAAATAACTAACCAAAAAGTAATTTTTTCGTGTTGATGATAATACTATTTTGAAAACTATCAGACATATTACATACGTATTTAAAAAATAAAAATAAAAAACATTGCAACAACAAATTGTCGAAACAACACCAACACAAAACGACATGATAAGGTAGTGTCTGTTTTTTAATCAATGGCAGAAAGAAAAATTATGAAAAAAGTGTAAATTATTCAGGTATTTTACGTATCGAATTAAAATATGCAGTATTAAGGTCATCGACATCTCTTCTACTGTTAACACTATCGCATTCGAGGATATGTATGTTGTATCGTAGCTGGAATATATAACGTGTATGTTATGTGGTCTGATATAACATGTATCATTTTGCTCAAAAGTTTTTTTGATAAATATGGTTGAACATCTAGAATGGTTGGATGATTGATCAAAATCAAAAATATGTCCATATTCTTTTTCATCTTCAACGAGAGCTGTGGGGTTTTTATATTCAGTTTCTTAGAGTCTCTCCTGCTTTCCAACTGTATATATTCCAATAATTTTTGTTACAATGGATCTTTTCACAAACAAATTTTTGGGTTGGGGATGGGTAATTGTATGTCACCCATTTATGCAAACTTGGTCATGGCAGAACTACAAAATATATGCATTAAGAAGTTGTCATTTTCATTCTAATTTTTCAAAAGATATGTTGACGACATTGTTACTTACATTCCAAAAAATAAACAAACTGAAACATTAGACACTTTTCATAGTTTTAATCCAAAACGAAAATTTACTCTAGAAATGGAAAAAAACAATTCGTTAGCATTTTTACTGAAATAATCAAAGATGCAAACCGAATTTTGAAGGAAGACTGATATCATAAACCAACTTTTTCTGCGAGATTCTCAAATTATTTCTCGAAACATAATTTTCATAGTAAAATCAACATCATAAGAAATTTGAAATCAAGAGCAATTGCCATTTCTAATTCTGAATTCGATAACAAAAATCTTCAATTAATTGAGGATTACCTAGTGAAAAATAATTTTCGTAGAGCCCTTATTAGAAAAATAATTAAAGAAAGAAGGTTCTCCTCCCAAAATACAGGGGTGAAACCCAAATATCACAAAATTCCATCTGCAGAAAATTTATCTGTTAAACTACTTAGTACCGAAGAAATAAAAGTGGCTTTTTCAAATGAAGATACAGTTGGAAAACATTTTTTCTCGAAACAAAAAACTAAAACATCACAAGAATTACAATCCGATATTGTGTACAAATTGATCTGTCACAAATGATATGCTGGTCAAACTGGACGGTGTCTTAAAACACAAGTTTCAGAACACATGAGAGACTCTAAAAAACTGAATATAAAAGCCCCACAACTCTCGTTGAATATGAAAATGAATATGAACACATTTTTTATTTTGATCATCCAACTATTCTAGATATTCAACCATATTTATCAAACAGACTTTTGAGCGAAATGATACATATCCTCAAATGCGTTAGTGTTAACACTAGAAGAGATGTCGGTGGCCTTGATACTACATTATTTCTTTTTCTTTCTGCCATTGATTAAAAAACAGACACCACCTTATCAGAATCACAGATAAAGCCATTCGTTTGTTTCATGTTGTTTTGTGTTGGAGTTGTCTCGAAAATTTGTTGTTGCAATGTTTTTCATTTTCATTTTTCAAATACGTATCTAATATGTCTGATGGTTTTTAAAATAGTATTATTATCAGCACGAAAAAACTACTTTTCGGTAATTTAACTAAGAATTCATCATTTCTTGTGAAATTGGAACGAAAATAATTGTATGAGTGTTGTGGAAGGTATATTTATGAAAATTCATTGTTACAGAGCCCTGAAGAAGAATTTAATTGAATTCGAAACGTCGGCAGGAATACATTTTTTTAAAGAAAAAATTGATCCTGTTATCCACCAACCCCTTTTTCAGAGTAATTGTCGAATTTGACAAAAAATAGTCTTTTCAGTCTC